GTACAATGTGCTTGTGTTTTAAGATAACTCACGAAAGAGTTAAAAGTTGAAAAAAGTTTATAAAGTAAAAAAGTTACAGTAAGCTAAAGTTAGTTTATTATTCAAGGAAATTTTTTAAAAATAAATTTAGTGCAGCCTGAGTGTACAGTGTTTATAAAGTCCAGAATAATGTACATTAATGTCCTAGGCCCTCACAGTAACTCACCACTCACTCACTGACTCACCCAGAGCGACTTCCCGTCCTACAAGCTCCATTCACGGTAGTGCCTTATACAGGTGTACCACTTTTTATCGTTCATACTGTATTTTTACTGTACCTTTTCCACATTTAGACACACAAATACTTACCATTATGTTACAATATTTTACCTATAGCATTTTGTACAGTAACATGTTATAGAGGTTTGTAGCCTAGGAGCAATAGGCTACACAGCCTAGGTAGGTAGCAGGCCATACCATCTAGTAGGCTATGCCATCATCCACTCTATGATGTATGCACATAATGAAATTGCCTAACAACGCATTCCTCAGAAACGTACCCCCATTGTGAAGTGAGGCATGACTATATGTGGACCTATAAATATGCTGCCTGGAACATAATTACACATGTCTTTTGGTAAATATGTACATCTTTCTGTATATATTTAGAACTGGAATTACTATAGCTAATGACAGTTTTCCACTGTGGTTGTAACAAATTTAAACTTCACCATAGGTGACTAAAATGTTTACTACCTTGAAAATTTTCATGGTTTTATATTATATTGAATTGACATTTTATGGCTCAAGGTATATTTATTTAGATTTTACAATAGCATTCCTGAAAAGTTCAATTGTTTTTGTCTGATTCATGTCAGACCTGATTATTGGCTATCACTGTTTTTACCTTGTAATGTGGCTGATGAAGAGCCTGTGCCACAGGCAGAAGTGCCAGCTCTATCTTTTCCTCATTTGCTTATACTTACGTTCTATTACTGTCAATCCGGCTTCTGTGCCAGGTTGAACATTTTAAAGCCACATTGTGAATGTGTAAATCCATTTACCCAGGTAAACATAACCTACAGAAATCAGATGGACAAGTGAAGGGGACACTAGTGATCTCTGCCCACGGCTGCAATACTCTCACTCTTTCCTCATACCTACCTTGAGAATGACAAATGATCAACTGATAAAAGGACCAAGTGAAGCACCAGAGTTGATCCTATATTAGTACATCTTAATTTGTTTCTCCTGTGAATGAGAGTTCTAACATTTTCTTTCCAAGTGTCAAGTTTGGGGTCCACGGGAGCAGTGGTTCTTAATGTTTTTTAATCAGTGAGTTCCTTCTGATGAAAGCTACAGAGACTCCCCACAGAAAAAAAACGAACCTCTTGCACACAACTTCAGAGGATTTATGCATTCCTCAAATCTATCTGGCCTCAGATTAAAAATCCTTACTTAGAATTCAAAATAATTTTCTTATTAATAGGACAGTAGAGGGTTATTAAGAGCTACAAATCCATTTCAGTGTAAATTCATTTATCTAACAAACAATGAACAAAACAGTGAAGACTGCTATTGTGGCATTTACTTTTTGGTGGGAAATACAGATAAGAAATAACAATCTCAAATATAAAGACAAGTACAGTTAAATGTTATAAAGAAAAACAAAGCAGGGCCCACAGTGCCTCCATCTGCAGGTGTACATGGAAGGGAGAGACAGTGCAAATGCACACGAGAGCATGGGCACAAAAGCTATTCTGCACAGGCCAGGCCGGGGAGCACTCTCTGAGGTGGTGGCAAACGAACAGAGACCTACGTGAAATGAGGGAGTGAGGAAGAGCACTGCAGGCTGAGAGAACAGCAAGCAGAAAGACCCTGAAGAGAACAGAGCATGTGCTTGACTTGTGTGGGACAGTAAGAAGGTCATCATTGTTATGGCTAGGTGACCAGAGGAGAGATTGGTAGGAAAAAAGGTCAGGAGGGTACCCAAGGGCCAAATCATAAACTAAGGCTAAACAAAGCATTACTAGTTAGTTCTCTGAAGTATCAGCAAGACTCACGAAGTACAAGTTAAGTAATAAAATTCTATTGAAGACTGGGCTAATAAAATATCATGATAGGAATTTCATTTGAATTAAAAATATTTATCAGGCCAGGTGTGGTGGCTCATGCCTATAATCCTAGCACTTTGGGAGGCCAAGGTGGCAAGATCGCTTGAGCCCACCATTTTGAGGTTGTAGAGAGCTATGATGATGCCACTGCACTCTCGCCTGGGCAAAGCGAAACCTTGTCTCCAAAAAAAAAAAATAGAAAAAAAAAAATCAAATTTGACTTAACTCAAAATATGTCTCTTCAGTTTCTCTAGGCAAAGCCAACTTCATTTGGAAGTTCGGGGAACAATTAAATTTTTATAGTATTTTTTCTCCAAAAATATCAATGTATTTTAGTTGCATTTTTATATGGGGTGCTGTAAGAAGGGCCAAACCATGCCATAATGTACCTTGTCATAATACTGCAGCCTGGGGGTGGACACAATCTCCCCATCCTCTGAGCGGATCAAGCGATCTAAGAATTCCTCTTTGCCTACTTCAGATGCTGCTTGACTGAAACATTCCAGAGCCTAGAGGAAAAGAATACAAAGTGACTTATGGTAGATTATTCCAATTCTAGGTGCTATAAATCAGGGGTTCACATGCTAAGGAAAACAAAACAAAAAAAGAAACAAAATTATTTAAGACAGTCTATTATACTCATAATTTCTGCCACATCTAAATTCTAAGTGATGCATTATTTAACATTTTA